ATATATATATATATATATATATATATATATATATAAAATTAAATTATATTAAATGATATATATATCATATATATAATGAAATATATAGCCATTCCTGTGACTATTTTATTGACATAATAAAATGACATATATAAATGTTTTAAAATGAACTGTATAAACATTTTAAAACTGTGATACACATGAATCATTACTTCAATCGCTATGTATAATGAATCAATCCAGATATCGAAACAAGTATCTAATGTATGTAGTAAAATACTGTATTTTTGAACCATCAAGATGGACTCCTAAAGTTCTCAGATAGGAACACAAATGTTGATTTAGATAATCTCCATCTGGAAGCCATTTGTACTTTCTGTATACATGGCTGAAGATAATATTTACCTGGGCACAATGAAAATTTTTCAAACATGCTATGATACACACATGTAAAGGACAATTTGTTTTTAAAAATATCAAAGTTTACATCTCAGCTGCATTACCCAAGTTGTAACCATTTCCTGTCCTGAGTTGTGAAAATAAATTTCAGTTTTGCTTATTTTCTTCTTACTTCTACTGAGTTTACAGGATATCCACCAGCTGTTTGTAAAGGAGCTTGTGGATATCCATGCTCAAATATTACTGTACCACAACTCAGATTTTACCAATGCTCAATCCTTTGTCTTAAACTACAGAAAGTCTGGCTGTTAAAATTCAGATAATACTAGGGTAAGATTTAAATCATAGAAGAAGAAAGAAGGAAGCTGGCATATACAACTTTCATCATCTTTCCCTTGGATGCACTTTTCTGAGATATGTGGATTCATGTAAACTTTTTGCAGATTTCAGCCAAGATCTGTCAACTGCACTTGTGAAAGCTGTTACTAGCTTAGTGATGTACACTTCCATGTGTGCTCTCCCTCCTCCTTTATCCCGCTCTCCTTTCTCCCTCACTCCTGCTTCCCTGGAATTGCATTCTTCAATAAATTTAGCACTTAAGTTCTCTTCTCAAGCTTTGTTTTCCAAATAATCTGAAATAACAATCTTAAATAGAATCCACAGGGGAAATACCATGCAGTAGACCATAATGCAGTTAACGCCTTTTGCAGTGGAACAAGGAACATAAGTTTCCAAACTCTTTTAATCAGCTTGTCCATTGCTGTGGTCAAAAGATCTGACAAGAACAATTTTAGAGGAGGAAAAGTTTATTTGGTGCTCACAGTTTCAGAGTTATCAGACCACAGAGAGCCCACTCCATTGCTCTGGGCCCAAGTGAGGCAAAACACCACTGCAGAAGGATGTGACAGAGAAAAGCAGCTCAGGAAATGGCAATCAAGAAGCAGAGAGGGGCTAGGGTTGTGGTTCTGTGGTAGAGTGCTCACCTAGCATGTGTAAGACCCTGGGTTCTATCCTCAGCACCACATAAAGATAAATAAATAAAGGTATTGTGTCCATCTACAACTAAAAAGTATGGGAGAGGGAGTGGGAGCTGCTCTTACGCTCAGGAAAATTAAAGCTCAAAGGCACAATCCCAGTGACATACATCCAACAGCCACACTCTACCTGCATACTGTTACCACCCATTAATCCATATTAGTGCATTAATCCACCGATTAGGTTAAGCCTCCCCTAACCCAATGATCTCACTGCTGAACATTCTTACATTGTCTCACACATGAGACAATCTTCAACTGAAGAGTGAACTAATAGGCAAATGAAAAGACAGAGAAGATCCCATATAGGTTGGTGTTATGGTTTAGACATGTTTCCCAAAAGCTCAATTTTTTTTTCCATTTTCACTGCTATAAACCCAATCAATAAACAGACATTTCTCAAAAGAAGATACAAATGGCCAACAAATACATAAAAAGTATTCAACATCATTAGTAATTGGGGAAATGCAAATCATAACCAAGAATAAAAATAATAATAAATGCTGGATAGGATATGGAGGAAAAGGAGCAGTTTTACACTGTCGGTGGAACAGTAAATTTGTGCAATACTATGGAAATCAGTATGGAGTTTCCTTAAAAGACAAGGCATCAAATCACCCTATGACCCAGCTATACCACTTCTTGGTATTTACCCTGAAGAATTAAAGTCATCTTACTACAGTGATACATGCATGTCAATGTTTATAACGACACAATTCACAATAGCCAAACTATGGAACCAGTCTAGGTGTTCATCAATGGATGAATGTATAAAGAAACTTATGTACATACAAAAATACACCATGGTGAATCTTATCATCATATACATACATAAGAAATTAATTTTAAAAAAAACTATGGGGAAATG